CACAGTAGCTGCTGAGTTTCACAAACAGTTCAGGGACATCACCATGGTGAAATGCATCACCACCAACAAGATTGAGGTAGTTCATAGTGACAATGATGAGGGAGTACATGTAAATGAACTGACTGGCCATGACCCTCAATGAACTGCATGCAAGTATGGGGACCACATCATCCACAGTGACAACAGTTCCATTGTGGCTCACCACACTCTACTGCTCTGCTGCATTGAAGCCAAGGTCCCCAGGACCAATGTCACAATCAACTGCATGCTAGATTCTGGTTCAGAAATTGTTGCCATGCCTAGGCACATCTGGGAAAAGATTGAGCTGCCATTGCACAGTGACCATCTCATGACTATGACCTCTGCTAACATGTCTAAAGACACTACTGTAGGCATTCTAGAGAACCTGAAACTCAACTTCAGAGCTGGTGTGAGTCAAAGTGTGGTTCAGTGGTGGAAACCAATCAAAACCAACACAAAAGATGATAAGAGCAAGTGGTGGTGTGCCTATGCAGTACCTAGATGGTAAAACCTTTTGTCTGGGTGGGTTCTTAATTCAATGCTCTGAGCTGCACTGAGCTCAGGGAGGACTTGGAGTGAAGTAGATTGATGATAGATGATAATAAGAAAAGTAGATGATAGTTAGACCCTTAATAAAGTCTCAACTATCAAAGCTGATGAATGATTTACTGAGTGATGATAAAATGTGAGCAAGAGGGGCTCTCTGATGTCTTCTTCTTATTCAGCTATCTAAGTACAGTGATTTATATACAGTACAGGGGCATTGCCTATGGAAAACAAGGTGCAACACTTGGTAAGTGATTGGTAAGTGATAAGTAAGGAATGTAAGTGGTGGGTAATCATCTTAGAAAGCATTGGTGAGCATTGGTAAGGATAAGTAAGCCAAAAAGTGATGAATCAGTAAGCAAGGTCAAAAGATTGGTAAGTATTGGCAATAGGTGAGTCAAAGACAGTCAGAATGTCAAAGTATGAGTCAAGTAATGTCAGGAACTGGGAAAGCACACTGGAATCACATTAGGGGGAGGCTGTGCATGTCATGTCTTGAAGAGATTGCTTCTGGGCCAAAGTGGGATGACAGAGAGGCAGCACTGATCTGATGCCAATATAGTACATCCAAAAGCAGACAGGGTGAGTCAGATGTCAACAGGGGTCAAGCTTTGGGGGTCTGTGGGGTGACAGGAGCATAAGGGATTGCAACTTTCCCCCCCTAACTGTCCTCTCAGTGAAGCAAATAAAAACTTCATGTATGAGGCTCTGTTGGAAGAGAGGATGAAGGGGGAGTGTCTTCTGCTGTATCTTGCAATAAGGAGGCAAGATGTGCATCATACTTGTCATGGATGTGATCAGGGAGAGTGGAGAACAGTAGATTATACTGTAGCTGTCACAATTTTGGAAGATTGATGGATGAGACTGGTATGAAGATGTTGCAGGGAGCTGGGAGGAAGGATCTATATGCTTCTTGGACTGGAGAGACTGAAATGACCACATAAGACCTTTCCAAGCAAATGACAGACCTGAGGCAACCAAAGAACATCCTCCTAGAGGTCATACTGACAAAAAGAATGCACTGTCCAAGCTGGATGGGCTGAGAGGGGGCAGACAAGGATGGGATGTACCAGGATGCTTCAGGATGGAAGCTGGTAGGAACTCCCAGTAGATATACATAGCCATAGGTCCCTAGCAAAGGGGACAAGTGAAATGATTGATGTGGAGGTGGCCATATCAGAAGAATTAGCAAAATGAGTGTCTTTTGGAGGGAGTGCTGTAGAAATGTGTGGAGTGTGCAAATCCTTTCCAATTTTGGAAGGTAGGATCATGTGGCTGAGCACTACAAGCAAGTGTGGGAATGGTGTCAGTATCTGCAGAATTGGTGGAGATATGTCAAAAACTGGAATGCCATACATGGGCACTTAAGATCTTTTATCAGTGCTTAACTTGCTTCCTTCCTTTTTCTTTGGCATTGATGACTTGTTCTTGTGTGAGGGATGACTGCCAACATTTCTGGCTGTCCTTCTTCACATGAGGGCTATGGTTTTCATCTCCATTCATCAGCTGCATCCATGTCCACCTCACCAAACACCTTTGGTGTGTGACACTGGGGCAGTCATGCTCCAGGTCCAGGTAATAGAACATGCCAACTTTGACATGCTGCTCAGTCACCTGTTCATCTGCTTTATGAGTGCAGTAACAAATGACTGTCCCAATGGAGGCCCAGGGGTAGAGGTGAGGTCACAGCCACTTGTGGGCTTAGTCAGACAGATGGAGACATGGACAGAGCAGAGCAGAGTAGAACATTGCAATATGAGACAGGGCAGCCACCAGTGATTGATGATCCTATGAGACTAGTCCATTGCAGTGAAGAGAGTGGGCTTGACCCAGGCAGTATCACTGTACTACCACACTGCACACACTGTCCAGACACAGCACTGCATGCACTGTTCAGACACCACACCACACACACTGTCTAGATAATGCACCACATGTACCATGTAGACACTGCACCAATGCTACCAAGTGAACACAAGGCAACTGCACAACCCACACATGCACAAAGGGTATAAGAGCACAAAGCTGAGTGATAAATGTTCAAAAAATAAACACTGTACTACCATCAACCTGCCTCGCAGTAGCCAGCCATGAAATGCCTGAGGTCAGTTCATGTCCTCGCACATACCGGACATCACAGCAGCATGGTCACTGCTGGGAACCCTGTATACAAGTGACTACTCACTCCCATCTGGACCACAATCACCAGAGAACACATCATCATCCCTGCAAGAATACTTGCCACTATCCCCACAAGAGTTCACATCCATACATAGAATCCCACCAACTAGAGAAAATTTGCCAGTGCACCCAGAGGAGGAAGACTTCTTCATGGCATTCCTGACAATAGCACTCCTGACCCCCCCAGTCTTGTCAGCAACACCTGCCACACACAGAGGGAGAGCAAACTCAGCCCCATCCAGAGCAGGAGCACCACCAATGTTGGGTGCACCACAGGTACCCCCACCCCCCACCAACACTGTTAGCACCAACTGCACCCAACCCTTCCACAAGCACCACCACCATGCCCACATCCAATGGCAGAGGCAGTACCACTCTTCTATGGGGACTGCACAGAAACTGAAAATGCAAGCGACTTCCTCAAGGCATTCAACTGCAGCATGTTATTCCTAAACCTGCTAGCAACCAACACACAAAGAATAACAGCACTAGCTAATTACCTAGGAACAGGCTCTTCAGCAGAATGCTGGTATGATGGCCTCACAACAACTCAACACACCAGCTGGGATGAGCTGGCCAAAGCTTCCAATTCCAGATGGCCAATGATGAAGAGCACAGCACAAACATCAGAAGAGTACCAGATGGAGCTACTAGTGCACATGATGCCCAAAGAAGATGTGGGAGTGACCAAAACAGTAGGATGGCAAAGGGTGTGGGCACACATGAAGTGGGCAGATGAAGCTATGCAGCTCGCATTGCTAGCAGAAATTGAAGGAGGACCTATGCTGATCTGGCAAGTCAAGAAACAACTGCTGAAGGGAATCAGAAAACTGCTGGACAATGAATATCAAGATTGGCAGAAGTTCACAGACAATATAAAGAAGCTAAACACATCAAAACTATGACAAGAATGTGAGGAGATAGAGGAGTGAAGGAAGAGAGAGGAGGAATGGAACCAGAAACTGTTACAAAGGATGGAGGCAGCAAAAAGGGCAATGACAGCAGACCTCATGGTGCAGCTCCAATGCTTCACAATAGGACAGGTTGCAGTATCATGCACTACTGCATGAGCATCACCCTTGGCAGTGTCCCCCACCACAAGGTTTGTACTCCAACAAACACCATGATGCAACATGCCATACACACCACCCTCAGAGGAAGCAAAGGAAGCAGTCTGGAGCAGACTTGAGCAGTACCCACACCAGCAGGACAATGAAGAGGACAAAAGAGATACCAGTCCCAGATCATGGCATGGGTTGCGAAGCATGGGGAGACAGTGTGAATCACCAAGCACACACCATACCCCCTTAAACCAAAAACCACAATGATATGCTCAGGGGAATGCTTCAGGTGTGGTACACATGGCCATGGAAGCAAGGAGTGCCCAGCCATGGAAGGAGACTCATCCAGACTAAGCTGCCAGGAAACAGTGTGGAGGGCACTCTGCAGTAGAACCCTTGGACTGTTCAATAGGAATATCACACATAATATCAGACTTGTAGCACTGGAAGAACAGGGAAACAATGACAGTTTGCTGTGAAGGACAGCACACCAACCCAAACATCAAACATATCTACTCTGGCTCACACCAACTCACATGTAACACCCATCATAGTGTCAACTATCATTGATCTTTACTCCACAACATGCAGAGACTGGAAGCAAGCAGCAGATACAATGGACAAACCTGTCCCTTTCACCCACCCAATAGCTATTAAAAAGCCCTGATGGCACCATCTCAGCACAAGTCCAGGCCCTGTTTGATAATGGCACCATGACAGGTGCCATGTGCTCAGCAGTATTCAACAAGATCAAACACAATCTACTGAGGGTGGTGACCCTCTATGCAGACCCTGTGAATGGCAAATGGAATGGTCATCCCATCAGAAGCCACATGGACAGGAACAATACAAATAGAAGATGTGGAAGCTAGAGGAATGTTCAAAGTCTTCAACAGCAGAGGAGGATGGTCCTTCTTGTTCAGAAAACTGCCACTATGAGCATTCAGAGCCAAACATGACTATACCACAGATGAAGTCACAATCATGGATGATAAGACCATCACAATGCTGCATAGCCAATTCACTAGAAGCACAAAACCACAGAAAATGAATGAAGAATGAAACATGACAGTCAACATAGCAGATACTGCACACAAGCCAGAGAACATCAAAGAAATACAATCAGAGGACATGAACAAGGTATTCAGAAGACTAACTGACCTGTTTGCACAACCCAGAATCAAGTACATCCTACAAAAACTGCAACAGGTTGGCTGCAACCTTGCTGTCCAGCCCTCCTTGCACTGGGGCCTTACCCTTCATGTGTGAATGGCCCTTGACTACCTCCACCTCATCATTATCATCATCTGCAGCCCTCTTGGACAGGCCAGCCTTTGCAGCCTTTGAAGACTGTGCTATTTGACATCAGCTGTAGGTCTCCTGGGGTAAGGTTGCCACTTACTGACTGATGTGCCTGCCTGCACCTTCTTCCCTGTGGCCTTGGTCAACTTCTTGCAACCCTGCTTCATGTGAGCACAGCCATCACATGTGCACCCCAATGGACCCATGAACATGGTGTTTTTCACCAAGCAATGCATGCAGGGCACCTTGTGAAGAATCGAACCAGGAGGGACAACAATCTTCAGCTCATCCTCATCCTTGCTCTCTATGATGGTTTGCCATGATCACCTTGGATCCAGGTATTAGCCACTACTGCACTGTTACAACTGTGCACTTACCTTCCAAACTGGCCAGGACACCACCTTGATGTGCAACATCTTCTCTGTTGCTGCTGGTGCCACAAGACTCACACCTTGTTCATTGATTGCCTGCAAGACCTCCCCCCCCATCTGCATGTCTTCATCAGCTCTTCCCCATGCAATCTCCTCAGATACCCACCTCTCATAGGCCTTGTCAGCCTCTGCCACAGCAGGACCATCCACTGCATCTATCTTGGTGTTGATCCCCAGCTCTCACCCATGCTCAACAAGGGGGAACACTTCCCCCTGGAGGACAGTCAGTACTGCAAGTCCCAAACATGTTGGACACTTACTGTTTTCTGTTCCCATCTATGCATCCACATCACCTTCTCCTCCCACAATTCCTCCTTGTCATCCAGGAGGCACTTAGCCTCAGCAACCAGAGCTGCAGAGGCAGCAACAAACCTTGCCTTAAGTGCAGCCTTCTCCACATCAACCAGGTCAGGGGTGGCTGCACATATGAGTTGTGAGAGTCTGGGGGCACAGTTGGCAGACATGATCAGTGTGGTAGAAAAGATGGATGGAAGGGGGGAAAGAATCAGAACAATGTGAAGGTTTGAGCCACACACTAACAAATATATACTTAGCAACCATGAGGTGCTTATGTCATTGGTCCAGATGCCTATATGCAGCATTCAACAGTCTTCTTGCATTCCTTGGCTCCATGCTTCCTTTGCTTCTACACAGAACTTGCCAGTGTTCTTGAATCCTCAGCACCACACCTTTGCCATCACCACACAGCAAGCTATTTTCATCCTCCACACCACATGGCTGACTGGGGATGGTCAGCATCTAAGTCCCCTGCAGGTACAAGGAATCCACATTCCTTGGATGCATAAGCTCCTATCATTGACCATTCTGCAACTACCATTATGTTTCCAGACCTCTTGCATCTGCTGTTGTTCATATGCTACCTTCCCACACCCTCGCTCCCTCTCACACTATGCTATGCCTGCAGCTGCTGTGCTCTGGTCACTTCCTTTCCTTCAGACTCTTTCTTTTACCACAGTCTCTATTCCTTTAGTGCTTGTAGTATACCTTTGGCCTCTGTTCTGGCCTGTCTTGTATGTACACACTGTTGCATGGCTTTCCTTTATTTGTACCTTGTCTTACTTAGGTTCTGGGTTTGCCTGGATTATAAAGCCCTATACTTAGGTACAGAATGATACCTTTTGGCACTTGGAAGGTCACTACAAGTTTCTTTTTCACTTTGTCTACACTGCATGTCTCACATACTGCCACACACAAACTATGTATACCACTTGCACTGCTCACATCACCAGTACCTGTTATGCCTGAGTGTGGTGACTTCTTCAAATGGAATAGGCACAAAGTGCATGAGGGGGAGTCTATGGGCCAAATGTGTCATAACCCCTATGGCTCAGTTATCTCTGAGGTCCAACAAAGGTTCTGTCTTCTGGCGATCCACTAAGGTAGTCACACAGAGAGAGAACAAGGACAAAAGAGAAGGAAGTTAGCTGAGTTGCAAGCTATCAAAAAACTGCAGATACAGGACAGAGTACATAGGTTTATATAGCCCTAAGTACGAGTACCATAACAGTCATGACACATATCTGCAGTAATCAACTATACAATCAGACAAATAAATAAAGAAAGGGGAGTCATATGGTGTCATATGATGGGGGTAGGGAGGCAACAATGGCTATACTGGCTGTGCAATCAATGCACAGCTAGGAGCCTGACACTGGAGCTATAGTACAACAACCAGACAACATAAATGAGTCATTGGAACAAGAAGGAGACATGTCATCCATCAGAGAGGGCGGCAGAATACTGGATCAAAGGGGAAGCACAGTCTCGACAGGTATTGGAAATACCATGACAGCAGGAGATCCATAAGTCCCTTGGAGCATTCGAGCCCCTAGGATGGCGATGACAACAAGAGACATGACCAGGCATGTGATGCATGTGACTGCAAAAAGTTGAAAAAGGAAAGGCCCCTGAGTGAGGCATAACATCACCCCCCCTCTAAGGTCCTCAGACCCTTGAGGACAAGGTCATGGGAGAGTTGCTGGGGCGAGTGGAAAGGGGTCAGCGAGTAGTATAGACACAGGAATGGGTTTGAGCGGTGATGGGTGACTGAGGCGATGGAGACAATGGTTCCTCAAGGGCTGGAGTAAAATGGGAGCCACATCTGCTGCAACACAACCAATGTCCCAGGTAACGACACTGGAAACATGTGTGTTGATGAAGGGGGTGGTCACAAGGGACGGGAGTCTGGCCTCTGAGGTAGAAACAAAGTTGATCCGCAGGGACAGGGACAAAGGGAGTCACAGGGAGAGGGTCAGTGGAGTGGACTGCATTGAAGTAGTTCTTATGGATTCCAGCCCATGACATGTCCTGCAGCAATACCTCCCAAGAGGAGTTGTAAGTCCCAGTTCTGAGGCAGGCACCAACCTCTTTAAACAAGTCCCCAGAGTCCACAAACCCTAACTCCATGGCATGCCACTGCTTCTCCTTCTCCTGATCCATAACATCTTCTTTTAATTTCCCAATGACTGATGGTTCCTCTTGTCATGGTTTGATGTGATCAAGAAGGCAAGAAGCCAGGGGTGCCAGGAACTCACTGATCTGCTGACTTCATAAGTGATGGTATGCGCCTCCAGTGATGGCTTCAGTAAGATCCAAAGAACCCTTCTCCAACATGTCTACCATTATTACCTCCAACAGGGGCACAGTTCCACTTAACTTTCGAGTCCTAATCTTGGAGACAGCACTGTTGATCACATCTGTCACTTGGTAGACTTGAGACAGCAACCTAAAATACTCAACCTGTTCTGGTGAGCACCTGTCAATGTCATCCCCATTGTTGAAGAGGTCAAGTGCCCTAACAATGTCCAGGTAATCAGCTGCTGGGATTGGTAGTCACTGCTCATCATCCCTGGCAGCAGCCGCAGTTGCGAGGATGTCAATGGCTGTGTGATGAGCCTGACAGGAGTAGGTGGTGAAGGTGGTCCATCCTCGTCTCACGCATTTCGCTAGGATCTGTCCTGTCAGTGGTTGGGCTGGGCCAAGCATTAGCTCGGCAGAGGCAAGGCAGGTGGAGCCACTTGGGAGGGCAGGTCACCTGCTCACTCTGACAGGACTGCATAGGCATAGCAGTAGCATTTCGAACAGTATGTAATTATTGGGCTAAGATTAGAATGGTGGCTGGGCTAATCTATGGCTGTGGCTATAGTGTGAAGAAGAGGGTGTGGTGGGTGGGTGAAAGGAATGACAATTGGGCGAGGAGCTGGAGTGGGAGCAGTGACAGTCTGTTGGGGGGTGTTTGTCTGATGCAGAAAGGCAGGGTGGCAGTGCTTCAGGCTTGTTGCTCGGATGGATGTTTGCTACCGGAGGTAACTGGCATCTACACTATCCATCCTTGTCTCACGCATTTCGCTAGGATCTGTCCTGTCAGTGGTTGGGCTGGGCCGAGTGTTAGCTCGGTGGAGGCGAGGCAGGTGGAGCCACTCACCCATAGGCCGGAACCCTGCGGCTGTGTGCCTGCCAAATGCCCAACCCTGAGAGTGGAGGCCTCGGTTTCGGATACAGCATTAGCTAGGTGCTGGGATGCAATTTGCTCAAAGGCTCGTATATATACTTGATAGGCTAGTGATTTCCACCGTCCGGCAATGTGAATGATTTCTGGGTTTACTTTCTTGGCAAGGAAGAAGGAGGCTCCGCCGATACGAAAGGAGTGGCCAAAGTGGTTCCCCCATCCCCATGCTGATAGGATGCTGTTGATGCGCTCCATGGCACAGGATTTGACCATGGGACAGGGAAGACCTGAGGAGTCCCTCCATGAGAATAGTGGGTCTGAGGCTGATGCTGGTGTAACCATGGCCATGTTATGAAGGGCTACCAGAGGGCAGAGACTACCCTGTTCGTTCAGGAAAACTGACTGTGATTCTCCAGGTTTGGCTGTTTTGGCTGTGGGTAGGTCTAAACGGGCATAGGGGGAGCCTCTGAGGTCTGTCCCAAAGAAGGCATTGCCTCTTGTGAGATGATGGCTTGGATTGAAGGCTGCATGCGATACTACAGACACTTCACCAAAATGCATCATCCCAAAGAAGGCACATGTCGACATTGCCCAGATGCAGGCATCAAATGGGTCTGATAGGGTTAGTGAGGCTTTCAGGGCTGATAGCATAGCAATTGTGATAGGGGGACGAGGAGGGTGATGGCGACACACTCCAAGGTTCTCGAGGCCATGGAGAGACCAATTGATGCGCTCGAGGTGGGAGTCATCAAGTGGAGCAGGCCATCCTTGTGCAATGTGCCATGCTCGGACTGCTGATAGGTACTTACGAGCAACAGATGGTGCTACAGGTTCGAATGGCACAGAGGTGCCCGAAATTCCCAATTCAGGTGATGTGGGGTCTGAAGCTGCCCATATGGAAAAGGAGTGTAATAGTGAGAAGGATGCTGGGAGGCGCTCAGCTTCAGGGATGGAGAAAATGTCACAGAAAATGTGGAATTTGCAGATGCCTGATCCATATGCTGCAGCATCACGTAGGGAGGCACGGGATGCAGTGGCTGCTATTTGCTGGATTATTGGATTGGCTATGGTGGCAGAGGGGGGAGTGTTGATGCCTCTCCACAGGGATAGTCGTTCTGCAGCTCTACATTCTGGACGAAGTGGGGATGGATTTAGCTGCAGTGCAGAGGTGTTTGTGGTAGGAGATAGCATCATTCCTATAAATATTCTAACATGTTGGCTAGGTAGGGGGGGGATTGGGGGATAGACTTGGGTTGAGGCTGCTGGGAAGCCAGTGAGGAAACCCTTGACGTCGCCATGGGATAATGCATCGGCAATGTTGTCCCAACTGGGAACATGGATTGCCTGCACTGCTATGTCTAAGTCGGCTTGGAGAAGGTACAAGCGGTGGAGGACTTCGTTGATCTGATGGCTGCAGGAGTGTCCCTTGTTGGTAACCATCACTACTCCTAAGTTGTTGGAGTGAACTAGTATATTGCAGTGATGTGAAAGTGCAGGTAGGCCAATGTGTATAGCCATTAAAAGGCCTAGCTCTACGGAGACTGCTTTGGCCCATCCTATGTTGAAGGCCTGGTCCGGACCAACCTGGAATCCTGGCTTCCATTTCCATATGGCTCAGTAGGATCCTATTGTAATTCCAATTCCAAAGGAGGAGCTTGCGTCGCCCCACCAGTCGATGTCTATTGGGTCTGTATGACTCAGTGATATCTCGCTCTTTGATCAGGTTAATAAGGTATGTATCCATGGTAGATCGCTCTGCACATAGTGTGGAGATGCTCGTCAAGCATGCTGTGAGTGGAAGGATGTTGCGAAGATGGATAGTGAATGCAGGAAAGGGCGGATTAGTGGGAAGATGCAGGATGCATGGACAAGTTTTCCGTGGAGGCTCTCGGTCTCTTTCTGAGTGTGCCGAGAGCCTGGGGCTAGCCAGCTCTCCAGTAGTTGGATGAGACGTGTCTGTTTTTCTGATGGTAGAGCTACAGTCTTTGTTTTGAG